ATGAAAGATGGTGTGCTCCTTCAGGGGTCTCTCTTGCTGGAATCCCGCTCTGAGGGGGTCTCGGGAAGACAGCTCCTGAACACTTTCCTCTGTCAGGCGTATGGAGCTCTGCTCCTAGACAGCGAAGGGTAACACACACCAGATGTGCTTCCTACTCAAACAAAGAGCTTGTCTGGTCCCGCCTGGGTCATCCTTGCAGCCCTCTCTACCGCATCCCATCCCCACCTGGCCTCAGACTCAGTCCCGCCCCCAGTGGCCTCAGACTCAGTCCAGTCACCAGTCTGGTTCTCATCACTTGACTTTGCCTGGATCTCAGTCTTTGGAATCTGCCTACCACTCCAGTTAGAGCTGCTTTTCTTACTAGTTGTCCCCATCCAACTCCCAGCCCCAGAATCTCCCCCAAAGGGCTGGGCTCCCATTGTCTGTGGATGAGCTGTGTGCCGGAAGCCTGGTTGCTATGCCTCTCCCAGATGGAACACCCCATTACCTTGTCTCACACTCCAGACGCTGACTCCTTGCTCAGGACACAACCTGCTGTTGTGTTGCCTTTTGGTTGCCATCACCTGTCTTGCAGGGCTAGGCCACTGCTCAGTTACTACAGGTGCATTTGTCTGTCCTAATGGGTACATTTCAGTTTGGGTCCAGACCCCTCTTGGTCAGGCCTCTTTCTTCAGTTACAGGGGCCAACGATGACAACGTTCCTAGTGTTATGAGTCCTCTAACCAGGATCGCCTCTGACACCTTCTAGGCTTCTAGGCTTTCTTTTCTTTTTTCTTTCTTTTCTTTTCTCTTTCTTTCTTATTTTTTTTTTTTTTCGAGACAGAGTTTCACTCTCGTCACCCAGGCTGGAGTGCAATGGCACAATCTTGGCTCACTGCAACCTCCACCTCCCGGGTTCAAGCAATTCTCCTGCCTCAGTCTCCCAAGTAGCTGGGATTACAGGTGCCCACCACCATGCCCAGCTAATTTTTGTATTTTTCTAGAGATGGGGTTTCACCATGTTGGCCAGGCTGGTTTCGAACTCCTGACCTCAGGTGATCTGCCCACCTCGGCCTCCCAAAGTACTGGGATTACAGTCGTGAGCCACTGTGCCTGGCCACCTTCTAGGCTTTCAACAAACATTCATTGAGAACCCACTATGTGCCACTATTCTGAATCCTGGCGTTACATACATGAACAAAGTCCCGCTCTCCTAAAGGAGACAGACACTAAATAAGAAATGAGGCCCCTAAACAAGCTCATTTGAGAGAGTGATAAGGACTCTCAAAACAGGGTAAATGAATTGAAGGTGACAGATATGGGGGAGGGCAACATATTGCTGGAGTGGCACAAAAGACATCTTTGAAGAGATGCCACTTAAGTTGAGAAATGAATGAAGAAAAGCAACCAGGGACACGTGCAGTGACTCATGCCTGTAATCTCGGAGCTTTGGGGGGCCAAGGTGGGAGGATTGCTGGAGCCCAGAAGTTCAAGACCAGGTTGGGCAATATGGTGAGACCCTGTCTCTAGAAAAAAACATTAAAATTAGCCCAGTGCAATGTTGCGTACCTGTAGTTCCAGCTACTCGGAAGGCTGAGGTGGGAGGAACCCTTGAGCTGGGGGTGTGAAGGCTCCAGTGAGCCAAGATCGCACCAGTGCACTCCAGCCTGTGTGAGAGAGTGAGATTCTGTCTCAAAAAAACAAACAAACAAAAAACAAAACAAAAAAAAAAAAAAGAAAGAAAGAAAAAGAAAAAGAAAAAGAAGAAGAAAAGAAAAAGGGAGAAGAGAACCCCAAGCAGCAGAAACAGCAAATGTCAAGATCCAGAGGCAGGTGGTGTAACGTTGGTGTGTTTGAGGGACAGAAAGGGGGCCAGTATGGAGATGGCTGGAATAGAGCAAGCAAAGGAGAGTGGCAAGAAATGAGGTACAGAAATAGGTAAGGCCAGGTCTACTGGGGCCCTATGGGCCATGACTGGGAGTTTTCTTTTCTTTTCCTATTTTATTATTAGAGATGGAGTCTCACTCTGTCACCCAGGCTGGAGTGCAGTGGCACAATCTCAGCTCACTGTAACCTCCGCGTCCCGGGTTCAAGTGATTCTCCCGCCTCAGCCTCCTGAGTAGCTGGGGTTACAGGTGCGCCACCAAACCCAGCTAATTTTTGTAGTTTTAGTAGAGATGAGGTTTCACCATGTTGGCCAGGCTGGTCTCAAACTCCTGACCCCAAGTGATCCACCGGCCTCAGCCTCCCAAAGTGCTGGGATTACAGGCGTGAGCCACCATGCCCGGCCTCCTATTTTATTTTTTTGAGACGGGGTCTCACTCTGTCACCCAGGCTGGAGTGCAGTGGCACAATCTTGGCTCACTGCAGCCTCAATGTCTCAACCCAGGCAACTCCCCCTTCCACCTCCCGAGTAGCTGGGTCTACAGACATGTACCACCATGCCCAGATAATTTATTTTTATTTTTTGTAGAGATGGACTTTCACTATGTCGTTCAGTCTGGTCTCAAATAGCTAGTGAGATCTCTTTTGCAGCCCCAGAACTGAATGATGGCAACAGCACGGTTGTATGAAGGTGCTCAGGCCTCCCTCAGATTGA